AATCTGATCTTGGGACTGGCCTGCCTCAAGTCTACCCACAATTCTCCACCTCATACCTTCGTCTAAGCGATGATGTTCACTCATTTCACCTAAAAAAACCAGCAAGAAACAACAAGATTATTCAAAAAATGCACTAAAATCTGCAACTGTGGGAAGAGTGGAATGAGATGAACAGCTCGATGCGGACTTTTATACATCCTGCTATCTTAGCAATGCCCAAAAGAATACGTAAACTTATCTGAGGGCCAATAGCGCTACAGTGACCATATATGGCAATCAACTGTCCAGGTTTTGTGCGGTATTTTTAGAGAAATGTGCGAAAATGCTTTCCATCTCTTAATTTTGTCCTCCAGTGTAGTTACGATCAAAATATATTATGAAAAAAATTATTTTAAATTTCTCTGGGCTGGGCAGTACAAGTCTTTGTTCATCATTGATATGCTCTTACTACATGTTTAATAGTTTTAAAAGTGCTTGTATTTACATGAATATGAAATTAAGTGGGTATTGTTTATTACCAGAAAATTATTTTACACATAACTAATAGAACATTATAATTTATAAGTTATACATACTCTTTTCCTCATTTTGTCTTTCTCTCTCTCTTTTTCTAATTTATTACTCCATTTTGAAATATAATAATTTACACACATCCCCTTTCACTATTTCTTTAAATAAAAAACGTCCTTATTATTAATAAATTCAGACTTAAAAGTAAATAAATAAAAATATTAAGAATATTTTTATAAAAATCTTATGAATATTTTAGAATGGTTTATTTTGAAAATATCAATCGGTTTAAATCACTGATTTTTTAAAAAAAAAGAACCTAGTAATTCAAATCGTGATAGCAATCATAATCGCCGTAAAAGGGCGAAATTGTCGCAGAATGTTACCGAGTTATTGCTGGAGGATTTTTCTTTTGACAAGTAAAAAATTATGCTTTTCTTTACTGCAGAAATGTACACGTAAAATTTGAATCCCTTTTTCACGCGCTCAATTTATGCCAATAGTTTCGTAAATTCATGTAATGTTTAGATTGTATTGTGCAGTTTATTGATATTGATTTTCACGTGGTCTTTAAATATTCCGATATATTTCAGATAATATTGGAAACTGGAGTCGTGCATTTGAGTATTTACTTTTTAAGGCAATGATTCTATTGATTTTTTGGCAGTTATTACTATTGATTTCCCCATAGTTTTTAAAATCCGATAGTTTTTATACGATATTTATTACAATAACCTAATCTCGAAACGAAGCAAGCATTTGAGCAACCCGTTTTTGAAGAGTCCGATTATTCGCCTGATGAGTCCGTTTTTTTCGGTAATACTATTTCACGATTTTTAAATATTTTTTTAATGTGATGGTTATTTTGGATAATGCTAAAAAAAATAATTGTTGCTCCCCACCCCCCTACAAAATGCGAGAATATCACCCATAGTATTAGAATTAAAAAAATATTTCATGTTCAATTAAAGAAATTATATACAGTTTTTCTTTTTTGTTTTGTTGTAAACACAGCGTTTTTGTTATTTTAAATTAGCAACATGTATATTTGTTGTTATCAAAAGTATCTTGCAGAAAGATATTAGTGCTAGAGAGATTTGTCGCAGAAAGCTCGAATGAATTGATATATACAGTTTGCTGCTTTCTACTTAGGAAATGGATTAATTAATTCTCACCAAATTTTAAAATTAGTTACTAAGCTCATAATTTTTTTTTTATTGGAAAATCTATAATGAAACTGTTTCCTGCTGCATATCAAAACCCTTCCTACAGAAATATTTGCATAGGTAGCTGTTAATTATTTTCTCGGACAACGCCTTGTTTTTGCTATTAATTGTAGTTATTTTGAAAACCTTGTTTTATAATTTTTTTTATCCGTTAGCAGCGCCATGTGTTTTAAGATCTGTTTTGAAATTTGTTCAAAATGAAGATATAGTTTCCTGGGCAGAAAGCTGCAAACCTTATATTTACATCTTCTCTTTATAATTTAATTAATTTTTGACATCATCGGTCATTTTTTTGTATTACCGATACCTCAAATAATCTATGTCACACCATAATCTATGTCACACTTCATAAGGCAGTCAAACCTGTCTTTCTCGAATCTCTCAGAAAAGGTATAATCTTTGAGAAAAACAGATTTTAAGCGGTATGATCACAGATTAATTATGCTAACAAACACCCATAATCTTTTTCAAAGTACCTTTAACACTAAAATGGTTTTTTATTATCCTTTGACCTCTTATTTTCTTTGTTTCTATTAGCCTTCTTAGGTCAAGAGGAACTGCGAATCCCTCATATCCAATATTTTCCTGATTTTCAAAAGAAGTTGTTAAGAGTTCTGCTATCTTTTCTGCTTCTTATCAATCACTTCAGCATCTGTATGGTTTTCGATTTCTGAAATGCTCACACTATCGATGATCTTCTATCGTTCTAGAAAATCATTCACTTGCTAAACTTTTTCAGTAGAAATGTTGACATTTAATCAAGATTTCAGGGCAATTAACTTAAATTGAATTTATTTTTAACACTTATTCAATTATTTTTATTGATTCTCATCTTACTTCTTTGGGAGCTTCTTACTTCTTCTTCTTTCTAAGGAATTTTTTATTGGTCTTTAACTTCTGTTATTGAAGAAAGGTAGTATTGGGCATCGATTTCTGTCCTCTGAAATTCTAGGTGTAGAGGTTTTGAAGGTAAGTTTTTTGAGATAAACGAAGAAAATTCATTAAACTTGATTGCAAATGTTAGAAAATTTAAAAATTTAGAAATTTATTTTGTTTTATAACTGTCAGTTGAACAGCCGACCAAATTTTGGCTTTATGACTACCAATGTTCAACTCCGTAGCCTTGTAATTTTCAACCCAATTCAGAAGACAAGAGTATTCCTAGTTAAAGTATTGGGAGAAATTTGCCTTCGTGGAGGACTTTTTGATGGAACTAACCCACATTTGCGTTACATGGAGAGGTAAACCTTTCACTGTTGGTCTGACGGCAAGGGGACTCTAACCCATGATCCGTCTAATACTGAGGATATTTTATGCCAGCACTGTGGTTGGTGCGAGTCGGATGCAAAATTCGTATTGATCAGCCATCGCTGGGATTCGAACCCGGTTACCCTCAAGGCGAACGCTCTATCTCCTGAGCCATCCCGGCTCAGTTAGAGATATAGACGTTTTTGAAGTAGGTACGACAATACAGTAATTCATAATGCCCAGCTAATGTAAAATAATAGTTAGACAAGCTCCTTTGTCATTTATTGCTATCATAGTTTAATTCACTTATTACCTATGTTACAAACTTTTCCTTACTGTAGGCCCAGAATTTCTAACTTAACCAACTTATTTAAACTAAAAATGAATTAACTTGGTTAAACTAAATCGTTGTTCTGATACTTTGGTTCCATGTTCCACTTAATAAGTTATCTTTAGCTTTTAATATATTTCACATAAAACTATGTCTTGTCAATTTGTACAATTAAAGTAATAAACTATACTAAATTAGTAAGAAATCAATCACCGTTGGATATTTCTGCAGTACTGTTAAATAATATCTTAGGCTATAAAAGCGTAACCCAACAAACCAAAACGTAACCCAACTGTAAATTTAACTGCAGCTTTGCAGCAGAAGTTACAATCATGCAAACTGCAGTTCCTATGGTAGTAAATGAAATGAAAAAACCGTGAAAAATTTTTTATGGTTAAATTTAGGCAACCAGATGTTTTATAACCAGAATAAAGTTTATAGTTCCCCCCCCCCCCAAAAAAAAACCAGCTTAATTTTTTAAAACTTTACAAAATTATACTATAAAGTTATTTTTTTCTAACTAATATTATTGTATTTCACAAGACATAAGCATGTTGTGTTACTGTTTGACTCTAACTGTAAAAAAATCGGTTGGAAAATAATTAAAAAAATACTTATCAAGATTTGTCATTTAAGAAAGGTTAGTGCCATTCTCTTTACTCCTGAAATAGTGAATCAAAATTAGTTCATATCAAAACTAACTTAATTCAATACTTTTTGTAAATGCTACGTTAACAAAAAAAAAGTGATTTTTTTTTTTTTTTTTTTAAGAAAAATATTTACATTAAATAAGATGAAATAAAAGTTAAATGTGTAGTATAAATAAAGTCAACAATTGCAAAATGTAAAGTTAATTTTAAAATCAGTATCAAGTTATTTTTAAAATTAAATTCAAGTTAGTTTTAAAATTAATTTAAAATGAATTTTAAAATTAATTTATATTTCAAAATTATTTTCAAATTAATTTTTTAAATTTAAAGTCGAAGTTGGATTTAAATCTGAATTTGAAGTTAATTTTAAAGTTTATTCCAAAGGTAAGTTCAAAACTTATCTGAAGAAAATTACTTATATACTTTATTTATTTATTTTTAAATATTTTTATCAAAGAGGGCTCATTAAGGCAATTGAACCTTTGTGGTTATTGGGGCTAGAGTTAAGTGAATTCTAAGTAGGATTTTAAAAAATCCACAAAGAACGTACTGCTTTAAACAATTGTGATAAAATTTTTTATAGCCAAATACATCAACAATTCTGTTTATTTCAGATCTTAATGTTTTGTTGCATTGGTTTCTCCGTTTCTAGTTGCTCTATTACTTATTTTCCGTAATTTCTGTGTTTCACAATATGCCATGCGTTTGCAAATTAAAATCTGTACTTATAACTTTGATATATTATAGTATAATATCATATAAATTAATGTCCACTATTGTAAGTTAATTTTTTTTGTTGGTCTGAATAACTTTTCCCATTGAAAGACTTATTCTGTTCATGTTTTAAAATTTACTCTTCTATTATAAATAGTTAAATGCCATTAGAATTTAATTGTATAACATTTTGTCACTGAAATCTTTAATGATAAATGCAAGTAACATAAATTTTTTTTTTAAAATTAAATGCTTAGTGTTAGTTATCTTTTATTTATTTTCTCTTTATTTGTGTTAAATTTTGTATTTTTTTCTATTTAGGTTGGAACTTCTTCCAGAAGTATCAGTGGTCAAAATTCATCTCAAGAAACTGGTAAGATATCAATAAAATTAAATTTTTATTTTTTGTGTTAATTTAGACGTTATTCATTGCTTTATGAATTATTTCCCTTAACAAGTTCAATCTCTTGGTGAATAAAAGCATAGATATTTGTTTTCTGTATAGAGTTGCTGATGATCAAAATATGTTGTAGCAGAGTAAATGCTATAAAAAAATTTTTTAAAGTATTAATTGGCAAATATTGTGTGTACTGCTGAAACTGAAATATTTAAGTTGAATAAAATTTTTTAATTTTATCATTTATATGGCTAAACTTATTTTTCAAATGATAATATTTACAGGTAATCTTTTTAAAACCGTTTTGTTTTTATTAATAATTATAAGTTTTCATTTCAGATAATTTGCATAAAAAATTGTTGAAAGAGAAAAAAAAAAAAACTAAACATGTTAATTTAAACTTAAAATTGAACGATATTGTTTTATTCTTATGATATACGTACAGATTTTAATTGATTTAAAAACCTAATAATTATTCATGCATATCTGTTAAAAACTTTAAAAAAAAATTGCATGTTTCTATTTGATCTTAGCAATGAATGAAACCAAACATCAAAAGTTTTATATTTAAATTCCTTTTTTTAAAGGGTAGTAAAATAAAACTTTCATGAGCTTAATTTTCTTTGGTCACCCCTAAGTTATCAAAGTCATTGGTTTATGAAAAAATACTGGCAAGATTCATAGCTTGTTTAATGCGAAAATTTTTGTAAAATTTTCTAAAGCGCTTATGGTGAAATATAAAGGCCTTTAGCCAAACAGATTTCGAGAGTTATGTAAAAAAAATTTGTAATATAAAATTGCAGAAATAGTATTCTCAATAGTGATATTCTCAAGGCTGATTGTGCTCTGGAAAAAATCCGGATTTCCGGAATTTTCGCTAACAGTGATCCGGAAGTTTCCGGAGATCGAAGGTCCAGATGTTTAAAAAAATCATGGGTCACAGAAGTTTTCGGAAATCAAATTTTCAAAGGTGGAACTTAAAAACACAGTTTATTTTATTTGTTTGTAAGGGAGAGCCAGAGAGATACTTTATAAGCTTATATTATGATTAATATTCATTTTTTATCAGTAAGCAGTTGTTATAATCATGAACTCAAGAAAGAAAGACATATTTGTAAATTTTAATTACTTCTCCAGGTCATCATAGATATTTGTAAATGGTATAGGTATGTGTAAAATTTTAAGTATATTTTAAGTAAACTAAGAAATATTGAGAAAAAGGAAAAAAAAAAAAACCTTTTTAAAATTTTTTTCTAATTTTTCAATTTAAACTGTCTTTTTTTAAAAATTTTTTTTAACTCAATTTTCCGGAATTTTGACTTGGGCTCACAATCACCCCTGTATTCTAGAGTTGATTCTTAGTAGTTCTTAAAGAATTGTAGTTAAGCATGAGCATCATTGGCGGGGGAAAGGATGGACTGTAAATGTCCTCCTAAATAATTAGAAATCTCTTGAAGTCTCCCTCAGTATTTCAGACCAAGAAAAAATTTTTAAATTATCAGCAATTTGAATCCCTTAAATTTAAAAACAAGAAAGAGATAAAAACTAATTTTTGCAGACATTTAGTACTTTTGAAAATATTTTTTTCTTATGTGTGAAATTTAGAAAACTGTTGTGACTCTGTAACTTAATTCCTCTCAAAAATTTGGCCTCTGCAGCATCCATGCAGTTAAGGTTTGGTAAAACTTCTAACTATGTATTTTTAATTTAATTTTAATACCTATAAGTTTTCTTTTATTTTTAGGCGAAAGTGATAGTTGTAAATCATATTTAGAAGAAGCAATTGATGTTTTAGTAGAAAAAGAAGCTGTTGTAGGTAAGTCTTTTATTATTGATAAACAGAGGGTAAAACTAAATTTTAGTACAATCAATTTCTGCTTTAATAAAATTGTAAGTACCGAAATTTATCTATTTGCATCATAAATCTGAATTTCCAAAAATTAAAATTATACGATAAAAACAATGAGTTATGAATCGAAAAGTTTATATATTTTTTTGGTGGGAAAAAATGTGAGAGTTCTGTTTGTAATTTAATGTTCCCTCAAATGTTGTACTAATAATATTTTTTTATTCAACTGCAAGAATGTTGCATTTCCCAATGAAATGAATGCAATACTGAAATTAAAGAGTCAATTGAATGTGTGTGGGATTTACAAACATGGAAAGTACCCATACGCATATGAAACACCGTCGAGTAGAATGGTTTGTGTAGGGACATCTTTTGTAGTCACTACAGTAGTCACCTACTTATTCATCAGTTACCCTATTATAGTTTTGTTGGTTACTGATTGGGTGATTATATGGCAGACGATGTTGAAACTATAATAGTGGAAACCATTATGAGAAATCACGAACACTTTAAAAGTTAGGGTTGTTTATTTTGTTAACAGCATTTTTCTAACTGAATTGAATCAGAAATTGTTGGGGGGGGGGGACTAATGGAAACAACAAAGGAATTTTGAACTTTAAAAAACCTCATTTTTTTAAAAAATTTTGCTCAATAAATATATAAAGTGTGATAATAAAGTAACTTTATAATTTTACCAACATATTACCCTTTGGTGAACATACCCTTTGAGTGAAGTAGTCTCACTGTAATAATTATAGAGTGACAAAATTTTTAAATGACAGCACCCACTTTTTTCCGATTGAAATGTAATCCTTGCAGTAAAAACCTAAAATGGATTTGGAACAGTATTCTTAGAACAAGAAATTTTAATGATAGACTTTTGCCATGCAATGCCATTTTTCGTGACAACTAAGGAGAAAAGAATGTGTTAAAAAATTATAAAATCAAAGAAATAATTTCAAAGAAATCATTTTATGTTCTAAAAAATTCCATCCTCATTTTTCTGCCATATCTATAGTTTTTTCTTCTGTTTTTGAAGATTTTTATCGCATTCTTTTCATTAGTGGTCATGAAAAATGGCATAGCAAAAGTCCAGAGTCACAATTTCTTGCTTTAAAAAAAATACCCTTCTAACTCTATTTTAGGTTTTTATTGTAAGGATTATGTTTCAATAAATAGGTGCTACCATTTGAAAATTTTGAAATTTTGTTCCTGTAAATGTTACAGTGAATCGTTTTAAACATCATTCTTGAGTGCATATATTTTTATACTTATGTACAAAATTTTATTCTATTCACTTTAACGGTAAGCTCTCCATAAGGTCACATGTTGGCAAAGTTATTTTATAATCACCTTATATTTGATCACATCATCATTGAACAAAGATTCAAGTATTAACCTTAAAATTCTTATAAATAGTTATATAATTTCTTTAGTAGATTATCTGGTATCACAAGTGCTGCGTTGTAGTGATTAATTTCAGACACTGAATTCTAGGTCGTGAGGGGTTGCAAAAGACCTGAATCAAACCTATTTCTTTGATCTCTATCTTTTATATGTATTTTAAATTCTTTTAGACCTCTTTATTTATCTATCTATGCTTGCAATCCCATGAACATTTTGCATATGAAAAGAGGTCTAAAGTATAAGCCGATCTTGCCCTATTTAATTAAATGTTATAGCTTTAGTCAGTTACTGATGCCTACAAAAAAAAGCATGCTTTATAAAAATAAAATAAAGTACTGTTCATATAATTGATTTATATAACTGTATAAATGGTATTCAATCTGCTCATGATATCTTGAAATTGAAAATACCTAAACTTTGTATCCAATGCTCTTAGACTTTTTTTAGTCTTAATCCTCAGAATAATAGTAATTTTGTGCTTTCAAATTATACGTTTTTTCCCCCATCAGTTTTATCTATTCTTATAATCTATTATATTTACATGATCTCATTAGTTTTTTTATAGATGTAATGGTTACATACTTTAAACAAATGAATATTTTATAGTTAGAGAAATTAAGCTACTTTGTTAAGAAAAAGTGAAATTTACCTATATATTTGATATTTTTGTAAAAGTCTGTTGCCTAATGACAATTTTCATAAAAAGATGCCTCCTCATTCCAGGAATAAATCCCCAAAACACTGTATATGCCTGTCGGTACCTTGTGAACACTGCTTTTGATTTATTTCAAAAGTATTTATTTTGATATGTTTTAAGGGATTAAAAAAGTAATGCATTACTTTAATAGCCCATTGTGGGATACATGTGAAGTTGATTCTATATGTTCAATTTTACAATTTAGTGACATATTGCATGATGATGACCATGCGGTCAGCATTGTACGCAGACCGCCAGGCAAGCTGGCACCCATTAATTTGAGGCTGATGGGCTTCAAACCGCTTCTAGGGATATGTATTAATGGTTAGGTAACCGTAAGGGAAAGAAATTTTGAACCTTGTTAAAATTTTAGTATATGAGTAAATATTTTGTGTGTTTGTCACTGGGCACTAAAATTTTGCCAAAACTGATAATGATATTTATATAGTTCATTGATGATTTTTTTGTTCAGACACTCTTAGCCATTGTGATAAATGAGCAATTGCAGAATATTGATATTCTGTAGTGTAATGCTAGAGCAATTAATTTCAAACTTTTAGGAACAAAATTCTTAAATTACTTAAAATAATATTACCTTTATGTTTATAACATAACATCGGATTGAAAAAAGGCAAAATTCTGTCCCATTCTTTAACTCTCTGTTGTTCTTGCATGTAGAAATCTTCTTTCCACTTACATTTATCTCCACGTTGCAAACAAGTAAGTGTAAATGTCCTGTCAATAGACGCAGAAGCAATGTATGGAAAAAAATATTGTCCTAAATATTTTCTTTGATGAAACTCAGGAGGTTAAATTTTGACTTAGATTGTTAATGTTGTTAAAAATTAAGTTTTTTTATTTATATATTTTTCGTAGATAACAAAATCTTTGCTTAAATATTGGCGTTGGTTGATTTTACATTAAGTCACAATATTTTTAACTTTCAATTGTTCATTGAAAGTCAATTAGAATGCATAACTTTAAATATTGCCTTTAATTGTGATATAATTTTCATATTACCATAGAGTTGTTTATTTAATTTGTTCATTATTCATGTAGAAATGTATTATTTGTATGTTGTTGCAGCATAGTTGATTAATATTTTTCCTGCATTCACTTAATTTTTCTTCCTTTGGTTTACTTTCAGGTTTAGATTACATTATTGAATACAAGAATATGGTTTCAAAGAAAGGAAGTTTGCCTTTTTCTTGTAAACTCTGCAATTCGTCAATTGGACGTCTAACAGTTGTGGCACATGTTATAGGATCTAAACACAGACTAAACTATTTGGTGAGATCTTAAAATAATTTGAAAGCATTTAATAGCTAATTTAGAGTGCTAATTCATTATCAGCTGAAGAAGTCCATTAGTCAGAAGCTTTTAATAAGATTTGAAAAAGAATATATTATGAACTTTATTACTATTATATTGTTTATTAGTAGTATATTATTTATCACTATTATATTATTTATTATTATTATGTTATATTATTTATTACAATTGTATTATTTATTATTATTATGCTATATTATTTATTACTATTATATTTATTACAGAGGTAGAATTTGATTTTGTTGAAGGTTTAAATTTGTTAGTAGTAATTAGTAGAACTCTTAACTATTTTTAGTTTTAAAATAAATTTTAAATTTGGTGTCCTAAATTGTATCTTTTTCTTAAGTATTTTAAAATTGATCAAATGAAATAATTCCATTGAAAGTTTCCAAAAATATTCTATTAAAATCTTTTTAAGTTAGTTTGCAGAATGCTTTATTATTTAGCAGATGATATGATTGCTGTATACTATTTGTCTATTTAACTTTGCTTAATTGGCGAGGAATGTAATGTTACTACAAGCAATTTAGATGTTTAGTTTGCCAAATGAGCCTAAATTTTCATAAAAAGAAAAAAAATTTGAATGCTATTTTGGTTGTGGACAAGGCTTCTTATATGTTATAAATTATGTGCAAAAAAACTACTCAAACCTATAGTTTTTTTTATACCTCTCATTAACAACTCCACATTGTTGTATTAACAAAAACATGTTTTATTAGGGAATAACAGTGAAACAAACTCATGTTTGTGCATAGTATTCACAAAACTAATTTGTAACTGTTGGGATTTACCATGATCACTATTGTATTTTTGTAAATGGCACTAATATTTTTACAATCATTTGTAAACATCAAAGCATCACAATATTTTGGTGATTTTATTATGACAATGTTTGATCACAATTATTTGGTGATTTTACAGTAAAGATATTATAACGCATTTTTAGTGATTCAATTCCACAAACTAGAGGTTAACTGTGGGTAGTATTATTCCAACTGAAGTAATACTATTGACCACAGCTGATCAATAATTATTCAAGATTTATTACATCTACTAAATTTTTTTTCTCAATAAATTGGTACTTTATTACACAACTTCAATTTTTTTCACTCTTGACTTTATTTATTTAAGGTTAACATAAATACTTTGCAAAAATGTTACTTAAAGTAAAATAACATGTTTTCACATAACTTGGAAACGCAGCTTCCATGATGCTTCTGCCATAATTCTTGCAAACTATACATGAAGATTTTACTTGCGCTTACTTATCATTGTCATAAAGGAGCAGTTATAGACAGTCATTGATAACTCAGCAAAACTCATTTTTGACTACGAAGAGCTGTAGCCAGCAAAAGTTACTGACATTATCTTTTAAATGAATGATTATAAAAAGAATGGTTTACAGTTTCAATTGTAACTATGACTTCCGCATTTATGTTGTGAAAAATACTTTATTAAGGCTGTAGCTGACAAGCTGTTAATCATAAAGTTACCTTGATTTCTCTACTCTGAAACACATTTGCACTAAAATTAGAGACGTGTTCGAGAATAAAGATTTTGTATAGGGGACATACACTCACATTGTGTTCTTTTATGCATAGATGAAGTTTAAAAATTGCTTATGAAGAAATTAATTTGGAGTTTTTAAGTTTATTTTAATAAAGTTTTTTTTTAACACAAGTATTAGATTAAGCAGTGCAGTTAGCAGCTTTTTCAAATTATTATAAAATTAAGTTACACATAAAAGTAGTCAATATCTCTGAGAATTTTCTAAAAAAGAAAAAAAAAAAATAAAATTACAAAAAATTTAAATCAAGTACTTAGTTATGATCAACAGAACATAATACATACCGTGGTTACTTGATGATACACAGTTTATACAATACATTTTCTAATCAATATAGCTGCCACATTTTTTTTATTGGGTTTCATAAGGAATGGCTTAATCCAGACTGTTTGTGAAAAGTTCTATTTTTATGAAAAATCTACACCTAATTTTGAGAATCTAATACAAGTAGTACTTTGAGAGCCGCAATGGCTCAGAGGGTAGAGCGTTCGCCTTCCAATGAGGTGAACCGGGTTCGAATCCCAGCGATGACTGGTCCATATGAATCCGGCTTGCACAGACTACAGTGCTGACATGAAATATCTACAGTTGTAGACGGATCATGATTTAGAGTCCCTTTGCTGTCAGGCTAATCGTGGGAGGTTCTCATTTTCTCCCTCTCCATGTAACGCAAATGCTGGTTAGTTTCCATCAAAAAGTCTTCCACGAAGGCTAATTCCTCCCAATACTTGATCGAGGAGTTCCCTTGACTTCTGGATTGGGTTCAAAATTACAGGACTATGGAGTTGAACATTAGTAGTCGTAAACCCAAAGATTGAGTCAGCTCCTCAACTACGGTCATAAAATAAAATAAAAGTAATACTTTGAGTCCCTGATGACTCAGAGGATAGAACGTTCGCCTTCCAATGCAATGAACTGGGTTTGAATCCCAGTGATGACTGGTCGATACAAATTCCGCATCCGGCTTGCACCGCCCACAATGCTGACGTAAAATATCCTCAGTGGTAGAAGGATCATGGGTTAGACTCCCCTTGTCATCAGATTAACTGTGGGAGGTTTTCCTCTCCATCTTACGTGAATTCGGGTTAATTCCATCAAAAATTCCTCCACAAGGGCAAATTTCTCCCAATACTTGATCCAGGAGTTCCTTGTCTTCTGGATAGGGTTTAAAATTACAAGTCTATGAAGTTGAACATTTGTAGTCGTAACCCCCCTCCCCCGAAAATTGGGTTGGCTATACAACAACGGTTATAAAGTTTTAAAAAAAAAAGTAGTACTTTATGTTGCACTAGAGTTGCACAATGGGATATTGGTGATGGTATCTATTATTAAGTAAAAACCATTTTGAAGGATGGTCTTAAGTCATGCCATCCCCATTTTGATCCTCTGCTGAGTTAGGTTAGATCCATTTTTCATAGCTTTGGTAGCTCGGTAGAATACATTAAAGAGGATTTATACCACACACCCTCTGTTAAGGTGGTCATTACTCGCTCATTGACCGCAACAAGTGGTGCTTGGTTTCGGTGGTCTACTGGGAACTGTGGCTTAAGATCAGTCCATTGTGGGACATTGTGGATCTAAAATAGCCTCAAATTGGTTCTTTCCACCAGGGTCCTGTTGGTCAATTTGTGAAAAATAGGATCCTGTTTTTGATTTTGTGAAAAATCATTAAAAAATATTTGTCCTTTAAGAAGTTGTTTTCCATAAACCATAAATAAATACAAATTGATACCTTGGCAGCATAAAATTGTAACATGAATACCCAAACATATTAATTTTTTTCAAAAAGGAATTTCACTCTGCAACTACACCAAATTAAGATTGAAGAAGCTGAAAAAAAATCTTTTGTCCTCGATCTAAAAAAAAATCTAGTTTTTCCGATATTTTCAGAAATAGAACATTTTTATGTTGTTTTATTATTTGGAGACTATAGTGATAAAACTAAATATATAATTTTCAATGCACTTTGAACAAATTAAATTGATTTAAATTCTTAAACAAGAAACTTGTTAACTTCTGACATATCAGCTCATCTTGGTGATGTTTAATCTTTTCCACCCTTATTAGCCTCTTTCTGCTACAACGGTCTCCTCATCTCCTGTGGTTTTTAGTGTTTCGTTTGACCTCATTATTTTATTTATTTTTTCATTTATTTTTTTCATTTTTTTAAAAACTTAATTTAGTTATCATCATTCATTTGTTATTGTCTTGAGAATACATGTCATGTTTGAGTGCTTGAAACACGACTTTTTATACAAATACAAAGGAACTTCTTCATTGAATCATTTAAAATTTTTACAATTTTTGTTCCATGTTTCTCATATGATGTTAATTTTTCTTCAGAAAGCTAAAGACGAAGAGACATATAAAAATATAATGAGTCGAAAACTGAAAATTAAGGAAAAAGATGCAAAAATATCTGAAGCTATTATTCCATTAGAAAAGCGCTATGGCAGAGGAAGAGTCATTGTCCAAATAAAAGGTAATAATTATCATCATAATATATTTTTTATTTTATTAGTAACTAAATTTTTTTACTTCTAAATTTATTTTACTAAATGTTAGCATTTCTTATATTTTGTAATGACACTATCCAACTAATTATGTTAGATGCCGTTCCTCTAATTTTGCCATTTCTCTATAAAATGTTATAATTAAGCTATTTTTTTTTATCATTTGATATCAAAAACTTTACCAATGAAAATCTTTTAAAAAGCATAAAGAGTTTGTGGGTCTCTATCGAAAATAATTATATGACCGACAACATATGCCTTATTATAGAACCTAAGCTATGTATTAACCAAACTATACAAATAAGCCACTGATGTTTTAAGAATTTTAATTTTTTTCCTTAAAAAGAAAATAGATATTATTCTAACTTAGATCTTACAGTAACATAGCAGCAATATGTTTATAATCCCCTGCTTAAAAAACAGAAATTGTGTATTTTTTGTAACTTAAATGAGGAGCATTTTTTTATTTTTCTAACGTAAAATAATGTAAACAGCATTTTTGTGGTAAAAACAATTATCTAACAACACTTTGTAACTTAAGCAAAGTGTGTTTTAACCTACCTGTAGGCATAGCGTAGCAAGCGGAAACTAGATGAGATATAAGTACCCGAGCACAGCCTTACAGGGGCGCCAAATTCATAAAACTTCATTCAAAATTAATACCTGATAAAAATGTTTTTCTCAAATACCCACTCACCCGTCTCTTTTGCTAATTTTAGGAACAATACCTTTTTAAAATTTTTATCGAATAAAGATAAAAATTAAGAAGGATGTCTATTATTATAGTTCGTTTTGCACATAGTTTATTATCAATTTTTAGCAAATTGGCAGCACATTGAATGAAAAATATTTTTAGAATAAACATTTAACGTTCCATAGAAAACAATGATAGCAATAAAAAAACATATAAGTGTAACAGGAACTACATTGTTGTCGAGTTATGATGATTAAAAAACTTTATTTTTAGTTGTGAAATCGTACTCAATGAAAAATTTAATTAATGAATTCAGTTGTATAAAATCTGAAACTTAAAATTGTGTTGAAAAGCCCCCTTAAGTCTATCAGGACTTTAGGGACTAGGACTAGACTTTAGGGACTTTAGGACTTACATAAGTAAGAGGACTTTTCAGCCTTAAGTCTGATATTATCTATATAAATATACCATGTATGTCAGTTGGCTCAAAAATTGAGTTTGCCCCCAGGGACTGTAAGCCCTAACTATGTCTCTGCCTATAGGAAAATTTATCCGTAAAAGAAAACGACCATTTTCAGCACACAGTCTATTTTGCATGCTGTGAAATGGAAAATTTTGTATTTAAGATAAAAATTGGAGTTAACAATTTATATTTATTATATCTTTCAAATTAGAGAAAAAAATCTTTGCACACTATCTCAGGATATCTAGAAGTTTTAACTGGATTAGTGACATTAGCTGATAGATATGTTTATTGAAAATGGTCTTAAAAAATAAATTTTAGTGCAGCACAAATAAGTTTAATGTTTAGGATTCAGATGATTTTTTTTGTTCTTATCGAATTGATGATATTTGATTATGTGATACCAGATAGTATTTTTTTACATGTTGCTTAACAAATTGTTATTATTTTTTTAGAAATCAAAGCAGAGGAAGAATTACCAATTCCAGTGGATAGTTTGTAAGTTGTTTTATTATCTTCCTTAACATTCAATCTCAATAAATAAATGAATAATACAAAAATTATAAGTTACCTATAAGTTACTATACTGAGCTCTAAAAAATTATTTTAAGTTACTATACTTCTCTATATGCTACTTAAAATAAATCTAATTCAAAAATCTTAGTTTCTAATTGTATTTTATACATATTATTTTAGATATGGTACTTTCTAAACTGCTGTTTGTAGAAAATGCAACACCATGAAAGAATCATCAGAATCAAATGAAATTTAATGCAGAAACGACTTGTACTGATACAAATAAATGATGAAATTTTCAAAACAAAAGAAACAAATTAAGCGTCCGAAATCAGTATTTGGTGCAGCCACCACGCGCTGCAATAAGTGCTGCTATACGACGTGGCATGGAGTCAAACAGATGTTGAATATCTGCTTGAGGAAGAGAATTCCATATCGCTTGTATGCGCAACCAAAGTTCGTCTTTGGAAANTAAAAAATAAAAAAATTATAAGTTACCTATAGGTTACTATACCGTGCTTTAAAAAATTATTTTAAGTTACTATACTTCTCTATATGCTACTTAAAATAAATCTAACTCAAAAATCTTAGTTTCTAATTCTATTTTATACATATTATTTTAGATATGGTACTTTCTAAATAGTTAGTGATTTTAATTTACATGTCATATGTTGATAACATTTGCAATTAAAATACAAATAAAAGTATTATAATCTAGTTTTTTATATTTTTTTCTTAAGGTAAATAAATAACTAGTCATTTTTATTATTACAGAATAGAAGTAGTTGAGGACAGCAGTATGACTGCTGCTTCTAATGAAGATGCTAAGAGGGTTACTGACTATACAAACTCTTCCATTAAACGATCCATGTCAGAAAATGATGAAGCAGTTAAGCTGCTGAAAGTTGAAAGAGAAGAAGATATGCAGAGGCAGATTTCTGGATTGGATAGTAAGATACATGGTACAGTTGTTAATGATTCCCAAACTGAACAAAATAGCCAAGATTCCAAGGGATTTACTGATGAAACACATGATAAGTCTGCTAATTTAGATGACCAGAAGGAAATGGAGGTTGCACCAGAGTCTGACAATTTTGATATTTCTTGGCTTTTAAATGCACTGGTTAGTAAATATTAAAAAAAAATTCTTTTTTCTCTATAAATTGTTGTAAATATAAGGATGCTACCTACTATAAAATTTTGTAGCCCTTGTTAAAAAGTCCAGGAAATTTTTCTTGGTTTTTCTAGTCATAAAATTTTTAAAAAAGTGCATATTTTAGTATGTTCGTATGTTTATGCTCTTAAATTTCCCATTTTTGTTAATGCTTGGGTAAAGAGGTTAACCTTTTGATAATTATTAAATAATCTGAGCTTTATAAGATGACAATAAATTATGAAGGAGATTTTTTATTATATGAGGATCTAGACAATCTGTTAATTATGTCATTCTGTTCCATGTTTTGTTTTATCCCCCCCCCCCGAAAATTATTGGTTTGGTTTTTATACCTTCTTAATGCTGATTTGTTCAATTTGATACTTTCTAGTAGTGGACTTAAAATTTTTCTGAAGGTTTCCTTTCTGAAACCTTTAATTTTTTTAATTTCTCAAATTTATCCTAAATTAGATTTAAATATCTAGTTTTATTTTCTAAATTAGATTTTATTGCAAGTTATGTAATAGGATTTGGTAAATCTCTTATTGCTTAAATTTTCAATATAATTTATTCAATTCGATAATGACATAATGATAATAAAACTTTATAACTGGAAATTCTATCCTGCGATAAGAGATGATATCCACGCTATTTATATGATTTCCTGTTTGGGAAATAGAAATACCATTGCTGTAAAAAAAGAGTCTTTTACTATGATTGATTTAATGTAAAAGTATTGTATTTATATATATCTGCAAAGATTAAAGTAAATACTACAAAGGTTGAAGAGAAGACAGCTGTTTTTAGTGAAATAAATGAAAAAAATTTCTCAACAGTTTTTGAAATTTATTTTTGTAGATCTTCGACCTATTGTTTATGGATTTTCGAAAGAAGCTATTCATCGGGGTCTGAAATTTTAGTCCTAAAGATGCTATCAAGACTACTATTTTGCATTTATGAAAATTTTGAATAATTTTTAAAATGCTTACAGATGTAATTAGAATAAAAAAACAATACTTTAGGTGACCAAAAACATAAAACAATGTAGAAGCTTAAGCTTGCTTACGGCAATAATGAGGATATTAAATCCAAATAAAGGTCATAATGTTTAAATTTTTTTAGAAACAATAGTTTTGAAGGTAAAAAGTGGGTGAATCAACATTTCTTGTTCTAAATTGAAGAGAAATTTAGCCACTTGATTTAAAAACATTTCCATGCATTGCTGGTTTGAGGCACCAATAATGTAAGCGTATTTAGTTTTATTTAAAACTCAACATTCTAAAAGATTTAATTAACGTGCCAGCCTTAAATATTAGCTAAATACTGCTATAAGTTAGATGGTAAATATTTTTTTAACCAGTTTACAGAATAACCAAATTACTCATTTCTTGTACTTAATGCTATGACCGGCTAGTATAGCCTGGTTGGTGGGGCGTTGACCCATGTCCAAGAGGTTGTGAGTTCAATCCCCTCTGACTGCAGACTCCCCCTGTAGTAAATGGTAACTGGTCACGTTAAACGAGTCACAAAGTCCTTTATGTCCTCGTAACAAATCATACTCTTGGGATGATTTGTTATGGGATCTGAATGTTTATGGTTTGTGAGATTCGTCGCTCTCTTGTTTAGGTAAAAATTATGATCTATAGATGAATAAATGAATGTATGAATATGTGGCAGAAGTTGGATTCTTAGCCATAGATGGCGCCCCTGGAAAATAAGATGAAAGACACCCCCTTTCCCCTAATGGCATATCGTAATAACAACAATGCTATGAACCATGATCTATATTACTTTCGTCAATCACTGGACACTTTTCACATCTTTATGCAGAATTATTCTATGCATTAATGATACAACTATTTATAAAAGTTTTGATGTGGGATCAGTGATAAAGTAAAGATATATTTTCTTAAATTAAGCCTTTACATTGCAGGCTAACCATAGCATATCATCTGAAGAGGAAGCTGACACAGTATCCAAAGTTATCGGAGTATTGTTAAAGTCTCTGCTTCATTTCAAATTGCAAACATTTAAAAATGTTAATCTAGAGGTATGTTTTTATATATGATATTTTTGTGTACATATTAATGTATTTTGTTTGTGTGGAGGTAAGTGAAATATTTATAATTATTTTTCAATGACTTTAATAAAATTTATAAAATTTTATGATTTTTTTATGTATTGATTTTTTTAAATTTTAATTAGTCAAACTGCATGAATATAAAATTAAAATATATTTCATCATATAACCTATAGCTACAATGTTCTTTTTTTGTTGTTGGGGAAATAGGAATTTTTGTTAATTGAATTGTTTTTAATCCCACATTTTGTTACTATTATTATTGAGTTTTTTTGTAAAAAATTTTTTTTTATTAATACAAAGTTTTATATTCGTAAATTTTTTTAAAAAAAGCCATTTTTTGGAAAATCTATTTTAATAAAATCTCAATATATATGATTTATTTAAAAGAAAATGGGATAAAAATGGAACAAAATGTCTGTTTGATTTGATTTTTGAGAACTCTTTTTTTTCTTCCTTTTTTCATTATCAGAAAAGAAATTTCAATGATGTGTACTATTAAGGTCTTTTATGAGCTGAATCCAGACAATGAATTATCCCCTTTATAAAAGGGATAAAATGACATATCTCCGGCCCTATAAGTTCTACAATGATGTGAAAGATCCAGAAAGAACATAATTGCCGAATATCCTTGCGATTTTTTTTTTCAGTTAAAGTGTTTTTATTTACCACATAAACTTGCCTTTACGGTTCTTTTTCAATTTTGAGAATTCTTTTAGCAATTTATTTCGTACTATCCGATTCAATAGATTGTGAAACAGCTGTATCCTGTTACGGCCAAATTTTTATGAAACAAAGAGAAAGTTTGAAAGAATATTCACCTTATAGACTAACTTCATTTTAATACTTGCTGTTTTGTTGATTGAATATGGACATAAGGTAAATTAGTTAAAATCTTTTCTTTATTAAATTGAAAAATTCTAATTGCCACATAGAAGAAAATGAAAATTGCATTTTTGTTCAAATTGTTTTTTTTTTTCTGTTCTAGTTTAAGTCATTCACAATCTATCTGCATGAGTTAATAAAAGGGAAATTATGTATTGTTTTCTTTTAGTGTATTAAATTGTGAATTTCTAAAGAATAATCATTCTAGTAAAGTTTACAAGTTCCTATGATCTACATTTCTGCTTACAATTTTTTAATTGGTTTACTTTTCTACTTAACTCTTGTCACATACCCAAGTTAACTTTTTAAGTTCCATAGAATAGAAAACATTGATCTCCCAAGAAATTTAGAGTCGTAAGTGTTTGTGAAGAGTAATAACGGAGTGCATTAGGTTTATTTATGTTATTAATATCCATTTACTATTGACGGTCAGTTTCCACTTGAAAATCTGTAGAGTTATGCTTGAAATTTAATTTATCAATAAACTTTCTGAATTAGCATTACGTTCTCTCATTTCTATGAGTTCTTGTAACTGTAGAGTTTTAATGACATAGTGAAGTCCTGATAGCTTGATTCCCAACCATTTTGTCGATAATCAGGATCATTGCTAACTCTGAGTACAAGAAACTTGCATTGTGAAGATTTTTTTATAAATTTATTAAGTGCAATTATCCTTTTTTTTTAATATACCTTTTCAGATAATATAATAGTGTCATCTAGGAAATTCAATCGACATGCGCATAAACAACCAATCGGTCAATTAATGCAACATATTTATGAAATTGATACAATCCAGTGTGTTTGATTTTGACAAAATATTGTTTTGTTTATATTTATCTATATTTTATCAAACTTTAAAATTACACAATTGAACAATTATATTTTTACTATTACAAATAAGATGTTCACATGGCTTACATTATACTCTACAATTTTACATTAAATGTATTAATTTTATGTGTGATATAAACATTGATTATGTAAAATTGGACAGTAGATTTTGATATTTACTTTGATTGCTTAATTATTGAAACTTTTTCCATTTCTTCTTTAAAACGTGCATGAGTTTAGTCATAAGTAAGAAGAAATGGGAATATTAAAGCTTCATTATATTAACCCTTTTTTAGAAGTTTTTACTAAAGCTTCATAAGGCTTCCACATGTTTAACCTTTTAAAAGTCATCAATTTTTAAAACAATTTTTTTTTCTGAGTAAACTACATTTAAATCTGCATACTAGCTTTCCTTTTATAGAGAAGTATTGTAGAGGGGCAAAACATTAAAATAAATGTGCTTATTTTCGAAATATCAAGCATCGACAAATGTTTATAACAAATTTTAAAATGAATATAATTTGTTATAAACATTTTTCAATGTTTATGACAAATAGATAAGGAATTCTGCAAAGAATTGAATAATTCTGCAAAGTTTAATTTTCTTTTTAATTACAATTTAACTATATTTGCCTATTTTTCTGCGAAAAGTGCTTTCAATTAGTACCTATTTAACTGTATCAATTTAGCATCTATTTAAATTAAGTATTTATTCAAGTTTATTATATTTAATATTCAGAATACTTTAGTTTTGTGTTGATGTAAAAAGGATAGTTTTATAGTATTCATCATTATTGTTTGCATAAATGCCTAGGATACGCCTTAAATACGTCTTATCTTCTCCTCTTATCGTCTTATACGTCTTATCTTCTATGCGGATACGCCTTAGCCTTCTCCAGAAAATTTCTCCATGCTGTTTTCTTTGTTGCCAAAGTCTGCCAGTTCGATTCCCTACTGATTTTGTAATCTATATTTATAAGGTTTAGTATTATTTATAAAGTTTATATTAAGTTTTAAATGCCATCTAGTTCTATTAACCATTGGCTTATGTCTGAAAAGGGCAATATCCGGTAACGAAGGTATTAATCTGTATTTTATGGTAGTTTATCTCATACTTATGCAATCTCTTATGTTGCTTATATTATCTAGACTTATTATAGTTCTAATTGGTTGTGCGATTATAGAACAGAAATTACTGTAATTGAATAAAGAATACAAATTTTGCTGAAAGAACCTTCGATTCCTTTCCTTTTGATGTTTTCGATTTTTTTCCAGAATAGTGGGGAGTTTATATTTTTCTTTCAGTAGAAAAAAAATCATTCGTTAATACTTTCGCCGTAACACAGTTTTTCTTGCTAAATTTACGATTTTATCGCATTTGACAAGGTGGTGAATAGTTAGTGTGGACCCTGCTTATTTGTTTTTTCATTATCAATTTTTTTAATGGTCATTAATGTTGTAAAATTTAATTTAGATTTCCATTATATTCTAAGAGCAATAATTACTGTATATCACAGAAGATTTAAAATATTAAATTTTTAATGAAGTTAATATTAATTGGTACTATGGTTAGTTTTGATTAAAATACAATATCTCTTGAAAGATCACTTAAAAAGAATCATAACTATATCATTTTTGTGCTAATACTATATTATCTTTTTTCTTTTCTTCGTTATCTCAATAGTTATTTCACGTTTTAAAAAAATAATCAGCTTAGAAACATTAAGACATAAATGTAATGCAATTTATTCAAATTGACTTACCAGATCATGAATATTTTTGTTGTTCAGGAGTAATATTTTATAGGAAAATGTTTCCTTAATGCAAAAACATTGTTGTAAATACAAATTAAAGATTATTTTCTTGAGTAACTCGTTTTTATAAGATTGAAAAAAATAAATTTTCTAATTATGCTCAAAAAATTAATTATTAATGGTCTTTCACAATCATGTTCAATTAAAAACTATGCTGTTTTGTTTGTTTATATTTTATTTATTTAACAGCAATTGATGGCATCTCTTTCTAATGGATCTGAAGAAGCATTGTTAAAGCTTCTGGCATTGTTAGAAAGTAATCAACAAGAAGCACAGAAAATAAACATTGATATTGTCACTGAGACTGAAACTTCTTCAAATAGCTGTGACAGGAAAATTTCTTCACTTAATCCATGTAGCAGTGTGGAAACTAGTGATGTTGCTAGAGAACACAGTAATGAAGATAAAAACAATTCACCAATCAAAGACACTGCAGAAATGTCTAACGTGTTGGATACTTTACCAGTTTTACCTTCATCTGGTTCTGTTGCTATACCCGACAAAGTTGCATCAATCTCTTCCACAAGTTCAGTTCCAACCTCCCAGCCTACTGTAGGTAGGGATGTTTCATCTAATGCTGTGTCCTCAACTCCGGTTTCCCAGGTTGCACCAGTCACTGGTCTTGTACCACCACCATTTTTTGGTTGGTCTAATTCACCAGCAAGTACTTTAGCTAATCAGTCACCTTCAAAAGCCCCTAGTAATTTTGCTTGGGCATCACCTTTCCCTATGATGCAAATGCCTGGAATGCCATATTATCAGCAACCAGCAGGTGCTTTTCAGCAATCTATCGCTGCATACTCTGGTTATTCTCAATATGGTGTTCCTGTATCCCAAAGTAATACAGCAACAGGGAACTTTCCTCCTCCTAGATTACCCTTAATATCACAACCTCCACCTCCTCCTCCCCTTCCACCTCCAATGACAACTTCTAATCAACCTCCTCTACCTTCATCAATTTGTCCCCCTCCACCCCCTTCAATGCCACCCTTACCTCCTATGTATCCTCCTCCACCACCTCTGCCATGAAAACGAAATAAGTAGTATCTATATTAAAGGTTTTGTGTATGAATAAATTATAAAAATATTTGAAATTTGTATTAAATCTAATTGAATTGTATTGCAATATTTTTGAATTCGTGCAAAAAAAAGCTATAGTTATTTAATTTATTTAACTAAATATTGTTTAAAATGTAAAAATAATTTGATGATTACTGTAAATTGCTTTCTCTTTTAATAAAATATCTATTGTTGTTGGGTTTAATTCTTCTAGTTAAGTATAATGATGCCATAATTTCTTTGGTAGTATTTTATGTGATGATCTGTGTGTTTTGCAAGTATTATCTAAGTACTCATTCTTCCTTTAAATAAAATATATTTTTTTCTCTTTATGTTTTGTATTTATTTTAAATAAAGATTTAAAATCTGTTTATTTTTTAATTGTTTTTCATGTATCAATTAGTTTTAATATTTGACCATTTATTAATCAAGTTATTCTTATTGTTGATTTATTCTATAATGAAAAATAAGAAATAAAATATATTTCAAGTATGGTATTTAATTACTTATCATTTTTTGGATTGAAATAATTCGTAATTATATCCAGAATTGTTTTTATATTCAGTGCTTTTCCAAAACTATTTTTACTGTAATATGATTGAACATCTGTCTAATAAAATATGTTTCCATTATTTTATTACTGACATTGTATAATTTTTCTTAGTACTTCTGATATTAAAGATTATTTAAAACATGTCTACAAAAATTGTTTTTAAGATTGACTTTTAGCAAGAAATGTGTATAGTTTTCTTTTCAATTCAGTTTAATAGTATTTAAAAGTAGAATAAAATTTAAGTTTCGGTCTAAGGTTTTGCTTGTAATCTAGTATTTCAGTCTGAACTTGGTACCGTTTTATGGATTAACAACACCAATTGCGCCTATCAGCAAACGTTACTATCTACATTTGTCGGTTTTATTTACATTTAAAGTTTTTATTAAGCTTTTTTGAGTAAATGTGTGGTCTGTAGCAATTTGTAGTAAATATAATTGAAACAAATTTTGTTTTTTACCCTAAAAATTACAAAGGTTGTTGGTTTCGCTATACATCAGTATCAATAAGGGATTTCGCTGAAGAAAAGCTGTAGGGCTGTTTTTTTATCGTTTAAAAAAAATTAAAATTTTGCTGTGCATTCCAACTTTTTCAGCATTTTGATTTATTCCACACCCCTTAAGAAATTCTACGAGAATATATAATGCTGACATTCTTTAATTAAGTAAGTATAGTTTTTAATAATTTATTATTTCTTTCTTGTGTAATTTTAAGCTCAATATATTAAAAAAAAAATTTTTTCATTCCAGATAATCTTTTTGGAGTAGTATGGTTTTATCTCATAGTTTTGTTTGACTATATCTCTCTTTTTATTACGAAGCGATTGATGGAAACTGCAATAATATAAGTACTTTTAATAATTTATAAACAAATAATTCTATTTTATTGTATAAATATTTTTATATCTGTATTTTACTATATTTTTAATTTTCTTTCTTCCTTTTTTTTAATACTAAATATTTTAAAAAGTATTACTTGTTTAATAGTTTATTATATTTAAAATTTTTTTTTCCATTTGGGAACTAGTTGCTTTGGTTGACAATATTATTTTTATTATGCATAATATGTTCTTTCCAATCTTATACACATTCATTTTTTCAACTTATTTTCAACTTCGACCTGGTCAATTTTATATTATAATAAAAGTAAAGCTCACCAAACTGAAATATTTCCAATTTTTTGGTTTAGTGATAATGGAATAAAGTAGCATGATACATTTTCTAATCATTTTTTTAAATATATGTAATAATATGGTAGAGTTTCAGTTAAAATTGTTATTTCGCAGTTTTTTTGTTTTTGAACATCTTATTAAGAGCCGGCATAGTATTTGGTAGGGCAGTGAGCCCATGTCCAATCGGTCGTGGGTTCTATCCCCGCTGGCCGAAGACTCCCCTTGTAGTAAATGGTGGCTGATGCTCATTAAATCTGTAGGGTCACAAAGTCCTCCATGTTTCCATAACGAATCACTATCTCTGAGGGTACTGATCCAGGAGTTTTCTCGCCTTCTGGATTGCTTCAAAGTTACATGGCCACGGAGTTGAACATTCATTGTCATAAACCCAAAATTGGGTCGACTGTTCAACGGCGGTTATAAAATAAAATAAAAACGTCTTATTAAAGGGGTAACCACGTTACTGAAATTTTTTTATTTACCTGGCAGCCTTATAAGTATGAACTCTACTTTTCCTCTCAATGAGGCAGTCATTTTAACAGTACTTTTGACAGTAACAAAGGAAAAAATTGCATATGACACTATTGCAACCAAAAACACCCAAAATTTTTATAATTTTTTTTTCCATCCTGCGATTACTTTCAAACAAGCGTAACTGTTTATTGAAGATAATCAAAGCAAGTAAAAAGACGAAAGTTTTTATTAAAAAGAGAAAAATCAAAATGGAAATTTCTTTATTGAATGATGGTTGTTGTGGCTTAAAAACAGCCTACATTAAAAGTTACCTAGGATCAGGTTGCAATATATTTAGGTAGATATTGCTTAGTAACTTATTTCTTTTGGTAGCATTGAATGATAGTTTTAAACTATTTATAATTGATAGGCATTTCGACTTTTTTGGGAAAGTAATGATTTGAAAATTTAGATTCGAAAATGAGCGTCATTAGACATCATTGTCTTGTTTGGAAAATAATTAATTATCTTTTCCATCAATATTAAAAACATCTCTATTACTAAATCCGAAAGTAAATTTGGAAAGATTGCTTTTATTAGAAGTTCACACATTTGAGGGAAGAGGAGAATTTGCTTCTTTGTAAAGAGTCCTAAAAAGCTTTTTATTTTAATGTGACAAAATTATAGTTATTGTGTAACCCCATGTTTGTTTGAGTGCAGTGTTTTGTTTAATAGGTTGAGTTTTAAAAATAATATTTTTGGAACTCAAAATTATTAGACAAGCTAATTGTGATAATGTGTAGAAAAATTCCCTGGTGCAGGGTTTCTTAAAATTCAAGCGAAGGATCTTCAGAAGTTGCTGAATTTATAGAAAAAGAAGTAGAAGGTGAAGCATTTTTTTGAACAAGTAAGTAATTTTATCTTTTCCTAGCTGTATAAAGCTGTGTGTTTGCTTTATTAATGATAAATTTAAATATGCTAATTAATTTGTGATGATGATATTTTTCATTAATAAATCATTCACTAAAACGTACTTCATAACGTTTAACACTTTTTTTGAGGGATTTGAATTTTTGACCTTCAAAATTGAGGGAATTTCGGCAATATGGACTTGAAAGTTTTCCTTGGAAATAGAGTAACTAAGCTCATCAGATGTTTTCAATTAAAAGCTACCTGTGAAATCAACTTCTTGAAAACTATTAGTTTGAAGGAGGTTAAATAAGAAAAGAACATACTTGAGATCAGTTAAACAAAAATGTATTTATTATTTTTAAAACTTATATTTATACTGCTAGATACTCGCTAAATTGTTATTAGATTCTCGCAATAAATTTTAGTTGGTAACTATTAACAGAAAGGATTAAAAAAAAAGAAAACGTCGATATTGTTACATAATATGCTGTTTGAAAAAATCTTCCAAAAGAAATGGAATTTTGAAAACAACATAAGAATGGTGTATTCATCCTCTTTTTTAGGAGAAGTGAACGACTTCTTTTCTTTTGTCACTAATTCTTTGATAGAACACAAATGTTGTTCCATTTTCATTGTGCTTTTTTCATCAGAAATAGTGAAATCATAAGAAGAAATGTCGGCATCTTCTGCTCGAGTCTGTATTGCATACTGCAAAAACAAAGAGGCTAACATAAGCAATAATAATAAGGCAGCACAATCACAACGAGATAGATTAACAAAGCAGATGACATTTGTGGTCAGGCAGAGTTATTGGCAATCAGAATGGACTAAGGAATAGCAAAACTCTCTACTTATGACGACACGAAGGAACCCGTTTAAGAAAGGAAGACATTCTAAGAACGTGAAAAAGTTAGAATAATATCATCGCTCAAAGAATATCCTAAAATTTCATTAGCTCTTATATCTTTGCAAGAAAAATTTCACAGATAGAATTGTTTGCTACTACATTTTGCTAGAAATTGTGAAAACCTTTTTGATATTTTAAATAAAATGCCATTTTTATAAAAACTGATTCTTCAGTTCTAACACTCAGTACAATACTAGTCGTTTCGGCACTCTCTTACAATTTGTGGTAGGTGAACAAAGTGACCCCGATATTCCTACAGTTGACTGGGGGACATTGCCCAGCTAAAAAATTATATGAAATCAGAGTAAAAATTTCCACAATCAAAATTGAATATCCTAGTACATATTGTTATTAAAAAAGTATTTCTCAAAGCATGCAGTGACCCCAAATTGCACTGTTTTTGCAACACCCAAATAGTTAATCTTTTATGTTTGTTTTCATAAAATTGCCAACAATGTTTTTAACAAATAAATTCTGTTCTTTTTATTGTTATTCATACATATTAAGTTTATATACATGTATATTTTATTTTAAAGATGTGAGGCAAACTGGAATTTTCTTTGTATTTGCACTGTAAATATACATTAACTAAGCAATGTTCATATGCATAAATAGAATTTATTGCAATATTAAAGGCTAAAGCATTAGCTACAGTGTGGATTAAACAACATATAAATGTACTATCAAAAAAATAATAAGAGATACATTTCAACTATTTTCTGTGTTTGTGGAAGACTTCTGAAACTTTTGCAGCTGATGAAGGTTTAGAAATTCTGATTATTATGAGAAGAGCAATAAGAATATTCATCCCATCTCAAAACCAGAAAAATCGGAAACCAGGTAAGCATAATATAACTGAAAATAAAAAATTTGTATTTTGATTTTTTTTTTTTTTAGCTTTCTTTGAAAATATTTCTAGAAAACTCCCACTATTAAAAATCTTCAAAACTATTAAAAAACTTGAAAACAAAGAGTAATAGAAGGTGGTATGTTAATTTCGAAGTATCTAGAAATTTTGTACTAAAATTTGGAAATTGTGAGCAAGAATTAACAAGAGTTGTCAAAAGATAACGACGTACGCTGTACAGGGTTTATAAAATAAATACATATGCTTCTTGAAAATAAAATTTTGTAAAGCAAAGAAAACAGTTTTTGGAAGGTTTAAAGTACTACAAAGCTTCAGTCATCGAAGCATAATGTACTGAAACTTCTTAAAAGAACACTATGCCTTGGGAGAATCCTTTCATGTTTAATTCTCTTTCCCTGTATAAGTTATTTAAAGTATAGAAAATGAGAGTGAACCAAAAGCAAACCATGAATCAAATGATGAAAATATTTTTTTCCAAAATATCAAAACGCAAACAAACTATGACAGAATTACGCAGAGGAGAAGTAAGCTTGCAGTAATTTGTTTGCATTTTGAAAACATTTTTTCAATCTTTGAAACTATTCTATTCTATTTTATGGTCTATTCTAGGTTTACCTGAACATATAGTTTTCTAAACTTTAAATTAACATCTGAAAGTAAAAGATAAGAAGCCATTGTTTTCTACCGCGTTTCGTCATCTTAATGCGATTTCAGCTTGCAGTGTCATCTGTTGGCGATTTTGGTTTTTTAATTTCTAAATTTCAGATTAAAATTCT